GTTAAATCGCCATTTTGTAGCGGCGGCTGCTGGACCTGGCTGGCCGGACTGGCGGGGCATCCATGCCGCACCGTGCCGCACACGCAGTGTGCGGGCCAGAGGGCCGGGCCGGGCCGAGCCGAGCTGAGCCGAGCCGAGCCCGTGTACTGGCCTATCTGACCGCATCCCAGGGGGCCGTGCGACGCGCTACGTGCTACGTGACCACGTGACCGAAAGATGAGAATCAAAGTGGTCACAGAGCGTCCTGGTGTGTGCAGTGCGCCACGCCGCGCCACGCCGCGCAACGCCACGCCACGGCAGATGTGTGTGATACCGAGGCCCCGCAGCCCCGCAGCCCCGCTGCCCGCCTGGTCCCGGCCTATACCATCCGCCATCCGCGAGGCGTCGGAGCAAAGAGCAAGGCGAGTCGAGCGCGGCCGAGCCGAGCGCAGCCGGGCCGTGCAGCGGCGCGCCAAGTCGGGCCGAGCCGAGCCGAGCCGACCAGGCCGAGCCGCGGCGACGTCTCCTGTCCGCTCGGAACTATAGAAAGAGAAGCATATGGCATAGCAGAGCTGGGCAGAGCTCGGCGACACGGGGTGCGGCGGCGAGGCTGCCTCGGCGGCAGGCGGCAGCAGGCGGCAGCAGGCGGCAGCCAGCGACTGTTTTTCTTCCTCTTCTTCTCCTTCCTCTTCTCCCTCACTTACTCACTCATTGCGCTCACTCACTCACTGACTTTCCTCGGCATCGGACCGCAAGTCGGGGTGGTGCTATGAATGAGGCTCCGTCCCCCTCCCCTCCAGCCTCCGGCCGAGAGCTGATCAGCTGGAAAGGTGCTCGGCCGTGGCCGCCGGTGTGGTGTCGCGGCGAGCCTCGTCGTCCTGGACCGCAACCTCGGCGACGACGCGGCCTGCGCGAGAAAATAATTAATTATGACACTTTTGCTAGCGCCTGGGTCTCGTCTCGCGTTTCGCCGGGGTGTCCGCGGTGTCCGGGGCGTCCGGGATGTCCGGGCGCGGCGCGCGGCGCGCGGCGTGGGTAACGGCCTTTATCGATGGGCAGACTGCGGACTGCAGACTGGTGCATGGCAAGGACTGCACCGCGCTGCAGCGCTACAGTTCGCTGCGTGCCACATACCAGGGCACTCCTCCTCCTCCTTCTCCTCCTGGGCGAGTCAGGCGAGCGCCCGCCGCGTAGGCAACCCTCCCGCGTCGGTGCGCTGCCTGCTGCAGGGGGAGACAGGCAGGCGGGCCGTGCAGGCGGGGTCACCGTGACACCTTCTTTGTGAGGCGTTTCTTTTCGCTGGTCCGCAGTCACAGCAGTTGGCCTGGCGGCTTGGTGGCGGCTCGCGTGGTGGTCACCACCGTCACGCAATAGGCCAGGGAGGCTGTGGACGCGGGACTCGTATCCAACCCTAGACCTTGAAAGGAAGAATTCCCCGCTCGAGAAGAAGTCCATTGATTCCACCCGAGTGCCATTGAACCACGGCGTTCGATGAACAGAGCCGCGGCCGCCTATACTCGTCCCGGTGCGCGCGCTGCGCGTCTCCCTGGGCGACGTGCCGCACTTTCCCGATTGGCCGGCGTGCCGGCGTCCGGCCGTCATCGGTGGCGGATATGTGGACCAATCACAGACCCGCATTGGAACGATAATTGCATGCACGGCCTATCGCCATCAGCATGAGTGCCCCGAGCGCGGGGCACGCGGGGCACGGCGAGTGCGGGTAGACTTATGAAAGGGCACATCCCTCATGCAGCAGCGAAGCAGCTGACGAGGAGGAATAAAAAACCTTCAGCCGTGAGTCGGGACTGACTGGAACGCCACTTCATCAGGGCGCGAAAAAAATAAATGAAAACAGAATGAGTGTTGGAGGCGGGGGCCGCGGAAGGCTGGTGGGAAAACGCACCCTGCACCGAAAAGCAAAGTCCCGACGAAACGCCGCTTCACTGTCATGCGTCACCACACTGCCATGCGTCACACTGGCTCGCACTTAGACGCTTTCTCCGCCCGTCCACGCAATCCGTCTGGATTATGAGGCTGTAATGCACCCGCGATGGAGAACCGATCAATCAGTGTGTGCACGTCAGTGTGTGCGCGTCAGTGTGTGTGCCAGCCGCGAGTCAAATGACGCCGAAACGACGCAGTGGCCGCTCTTCCGGATCCGCCACCGGGCGGCGGGCGGGGCTGACGCCGCTGACGGCGGGGCGGCCGGCTTCGGGCGGCTTCGGGCAGCTCCGGGCAGCTCCGCGCAGCTTCGGGCTTCGGGTCGGTCTTCCGCCGCGTCGCGGCGTCGCTTCCGCCGGCCCAGCCCGGCCCGGGCCTCTGACACTTTCACTCCGATGCCTGTCCTGCTGTCCTGCGCAATCCAAAACCGACTCGCGTCGCGAGGCCGCCGATGCAGCGGGCACACGCGGATCCCCGGCCAAATGTGGGTCAAATGTGCAATGACATTAACGGACCGACCACTCAACACAAACACACACGCACGCACGCGCGCACACACTCACACACCCACACACACACGATCACACATACACGGGCTCGCGCGTGTAGCCTGTCGGTCGGGAGCGACTCCGGTCACTCCACTCCTCTGTCGGCCGGCGACTCTGGACTTTACCGATTCTGGTGACCTGACGGGCCTGACGGCTCGCCTGACGGCCTGACCGATTTCCCGGTGGCTCTCTGACGTGGGTGAGCGGCTCCATTCGGCTTTGGCGCTTTGGTTCGCCGAGACCGGCCGAGACTTTCCGAGGGGCTTTGTGACTCAGAAGGTAGCGGCCCAGGCCCCTGCCATGGCCCCTGCCGCGCCGCGGCTGCCGTGCAGTCAGTCCGGAGGTGGGGCGGGCCGGGCCGGCCGGCACGCTTACACTTTGCCGCGCGGAGACCGTAGTGGCCGGTGCAACTCCTGCGCCGGCTCCGCTGCTCGCGGCTCGGCTCGGCTGTGCTCGGCTGCGCTCGGCTCGGCTGACCTGCGCTCGGCTCGTCGGCCCTGGCCTTCCCCTACGGCCGAGCCTACGGCGGTCCAAGTCCAAGGTCCCGGCGGGTGCGGAGCCGTGCATGGCGTGGGCGTGGGTGAGGGCCCTGCACGCCTCGCCCCACATCCCCGGCCCTGCCTCGCCCTGCCTCGCCCTGCCTCGCCCTGCCTCCGAATCGCCCGGCTGGCTGGGAGGCCGTGCCTGGCCGTGCCGGGATTGGCGGCTGCCAGTCGACTCGTCCCCGCACGCCGCTGCCGCGCTGGCTGCCCCACTGACCCTCCGCATCTTATTTCGTCGCCTGCATTTCAAGCGCACAATGAGGCGGCGAGGCGTCGCGGCGTGTCAAGCGAGCCAGCCTGCGTGCCTGCCTGCCGCCGGCCGGCCGGGCGAAACTGACCGCACTTTTGTGGTCCTGACCACCACGGCCTCGTCGCCGTGCCTGCCGACGACGGCGACGTTACTGGCTGGACGGACGGACCGGCGGCCCATCCGTTGGCGCGGCCCGGCACGCCACGGCGCGGCCGGCGTCGGCGGCGAGGTATGCGGTGGAGTGATTCATGAGTGAAAATGGCGAAACCCCTTTGGGCTGGCCGGGCCTGGCTGGCCGGGCGCGGCCTGGTCGTCGCGACGCACCCGGCCGCCGCGGTCTGGACTCTCCGGACGGTCTTGATGCACTCACGAGCGACCATTTATTTCCCGACGCGCCATCCGTCCCCGCCTCGTTGGCGACCAAGCCGGCAAGTGAAACGTTTGCTCTTTTATGTACTACCACTGTGAAACGAGAACAAGAAAAATTACATCCATTGTTTTTTAGCCAACGGTCAATATGCATTGAATCCTAACGACACCCGTTGAATAAATTTGGCAAAAAATGCCAAAACGAATGTGTTTAATGAATTACGGGAATGACAAATGCGGCTCGACAATAAATAAACACGTGCGATTTGGAAACAATCAGCTGTCGCGGCTGTTCCACGGTTTTCATCACAACAGTTGGTTGGGGTCGTGGGGCGTTGGCGGTTTCGGTGCTGGCCATCGAGTCGGTCTTGCGGGTCTTGGCGGCGCCCAGGGACCGCGGAGCCTGATTGTGATCGGCCCATCGCCGGCCGGTCGGCCAGTATCGGCCAGGCCCGCGGCACGGGGCGGACGGCGGGACGGCAGCGGCCAAGCGCCGTGTGCATAAGGCGCCCTCTATAATTTATTGCGCTCGCGTTCTGTGCCGTGTGGCCAGGCGTGGTGCCCGCGTGCCCCACTTGGCGGGGATTCCAGTAAAGCGAACCGATAGTATTCCCCGCTCTGTCATACCGACGCTAGACGCACCGCACGCCGCTGCACACACGGTTTCATTGGACTGCGCACAAAGAGGGGGGGGGAGGAAAAAGCCGACAGAATTAGCGTTGTTGTTGTGTTCCGTTTTCTGTTTTCTTGCCCGTATCTCCCCGGCGGGAGAAATAATTAGCCACACTCCTGACGGCCTGGCGGGGCGGGGCAGACAGGCGGCAGAGATGCGCCAGATCCGCGAGAACGCGCCGATGAATTCAAAGAGCGCGTGCTAAAGTGTGATGTCCGTCGCGGTCGGCTGCCCGGCTCACGCCTCGGCGCACGCGTGGTGTCGGTGACGCACGCTCGCCGACGGGTTCGAATACTGGCGGCCGCCCGCGTTTTCACGTTTCAACTGTCTCGCTTTTGTCCGCCGGCTGCCGATATGGCGCCAAACTGAGGTGGCAGCGGGTTGCCATCAATCAAGTGTCCGTGGGAACAAAAGAGGAGCGCGGTCACACACACACACACACACACACACACACACACACACACACACACCGCACGCACACACGTGCTCGGGACGACGACCCGGCTAGCCCGCCTCGTGAATGGGAAAATAGCAAAAAGGATGGGCGTACAGTACTATGTCGTCTATCACTTACGGGAGATCACCGACACCTTCTAAATCAAAATACTTTTTGAGGGCATTGTTCCCGTGAGCATGTCGACCTGTCTGCGCACACAAACACTGCACCGTCATACTGATCCCCTTGTTTGTGTTTGCAGGCCGAGATCGGGCTGATGAAGAACGCGGGCGGCAAGCTGAAGAACTTTTTCGGATTTTTAGGCAACAGCCAGCAATCGGCCAAGCCTCAGCAGCAGGAGACGCCGACGTGCAGCTGCCGTGAGTGTTTGTTTACTTTCCGCCCTTGTGCGCGAGGCGCGGCGAGGCGCTCCATGACCAGGAACTCGATGCGCAGGTTGCGGGGACAGGAACGACGCCTCGCGCATCGTGGGCGGCAAGCCCGCCAACGCCAACGAGTTCCCCTGGATGGTGCGGTTGTCGTACTTCAACCGATTCTACTGCGGAGGGATGCTTATAAACGACCGATACGTCCTCACGGCAGCCCACTGCGTTAAGGGGTGAGTACGCCCAGACACCATTCTCTCCCCGGTCGAACACGTCGCCAGCTTTGTGTTCCTTTTTTCCAGGTTCATGTGGTTCATGATCAAGGTGACGTTCGGGGAGCACGACCGCTGCAACGACACCAACAAGCCCGAGAGTAGGTTCGTCCTGCGTGCGGTATCGGGTGACTTCTCCTTCCTCAACTTCGACCACGACATCGCGCTGCTCAGGCTCAACGACCGCGTGCCCATCACCGAGACCATCCGGCCCATTTGCCTGCCCAAAACAGCGGGTAAGCGCACTGAACGCGAGGGCGTGGCTTCACGGGGATCAAGCTTCGATTGTCACGTCTGTTCTTTTCTTGCCGTGCCGCAGACGAACTCTACGAGGGCATCAACGCGACGGCCGCCGGCTGGGGCACCCTGGCCGAGCACGGCAAGCCATCCTGCGTCCTGCACGAGGTGACCGTGCCCGTCATGGCCAACGACGAGTGCAAGAAGACCAACTACAACGCCAAGATGATCACGGACAACATGATGTGCGCTGGATACGAGCAGGGTCAGAAGGACGCTTGCCAGGTGAGCGACTCTTGCCGTTGTCACCTTAAAAGCACACGACCCAGCAGGACTTAAACGACGCATTACGTATTACAGGGTGACAGCGGTGGTCCTCTGGTCCGTGAGCGAGATGACAAGAGATACGAACTGATCGGTAAGTCGGTTGGTCGTTTACAGTGAGTTTGTTTACTTGAATTGCTGAATCATTGTGCCCATCCTCCACAGGCGTCGTGTCATGGGGCAACGGGTGCGCGCGGCCAGGCTACCCCGGAGTGTACACAAGGATCACGAGGTACTTGGACTGGATCCGGGAAAACTCCAAGGACGGCTGTTTCTGCGAGGACTGATCACATCCGCCGCTCATACTGAAAGGTTCAAGCAAGAAGAAGAATGGGCCGGCAGTAGTAAAGAGCCCCCTTTACTGCCGCTGTAGGGCCCCCGGGCAGCGAGGGGCTTTAGTCAACAGCCCCACTGCATCTCGCCCGAGCGAAGAACAAGCCATCGACGGGTGCAATCAAATAGAATGGTGCTTGAGCCCATGATAAGCTGTGATGAACTTTGTCTAACCAGAAGACGCGTGTAGTTGCACGTGCAAGTCTTTAATTTATTAGTAAATTATCCGCGTTAATTTATTTTTCTTTATTTATTGTTCGTGAGGAAAGGTAGAAATTCTAGTTCCCTGTGCGGTGGCAGTCATAAAATGTAAAGAAGCTGCACATGGACATTTAAAAATTATGGCGTCATATTTGATTTCGGTGTAGTGTGTCATTGTCATTTCAGCACGTGGTTAATTTAACAAAATTTAATTACCGTAGCTTACTGTTAACTGGCGCGCTCTGGATCTTAGCAAACATTAAAAGAAGTTCCAGGGGTAGGTGTTGTACAATGTACATAGTGTTTCTTGTTGTAGCATTGTGTTGTACCTGGATTTGCTATATTGTCAATAATTTGACTGTGTGTCAAGGCTGGTGTTCCGTCGCTACGACGGCTCACATTATGAAACTGGTAGTCCCACAACTTGCACCCAAATTTAAAATTACATACATGGCAGAGTGAATACGATAAACAGATTTCATCGGATTCGTTTTTTTAAATGGTGCATGGCGGGTATATTGCAGGTTCACTTTAAGTCTCTGTATGGCCTCTGTGCGCAAATGAATCAACGAAGCAATTTACAACTAGAAGCCTAGTTATGTGGAATGAATGTTGGAGCTGTGTGCATGGATGTCGAGGAATAGAACTGTGCGTGTGTGTGAGAAAATTGTGTGAAGAGTGCAGCTGTCTGCGTGACATGGCCGCCAACCTTTTTGTGTGTGCGAGACTGAGTGATCCCCAGTGATAATTCCTCTCTGTATTTCTACTGTACCATACTGAAATAAAGTCTGAAAAAAAAACCGAGCGCATTAATCAATATTTGTTCCTCGGTGCGCGGCGCTGTTTTGCGTCCGACTCTGCTTACTTGCAAATGAGGGAAATGAAAGCAGGATCGGTTTCAACGCCGAGGCTGCCAAGGCATTGAGCGAAACGGGAGGGGAGGAAGCGGAATTCGTAGTATTCAAATAAAATAACGCCTCGAAAAAAAATTAAATGAATCCGTCTTGGATAATCGACTCTGGATGATTTTTTCATAACTAATTCAGTTTGATCAGCGTCACACTTTATTTCGAGATGTGCCTGAATAATAAATGGCCATGTCATGAATGTCCATGGCCCCTCCGTCAACATTATTCCATGGGAACGAAACCAGTGATCTGAAAACATGTGCCGGATCGAGCACACACGCACGCCTGGCGGACTGAGGAGAGCCAGCGGCACAGCCACACAGCCAGCACAGCCACAGACAAGCGCGAAAGCTGCTCGCAGCGCCACCTCGCGGGCAGGAGGCGAAGCGGCGGCAGCTGGTATTAGACAAGTGGAGGCGTGGGATAGAGTGCCGGCAAGGCGAGGCTGGTGTCGTGCCGTGAATGTGCCATTTGGAGAAGTGTACCCAGGGGTACAGGCATCGCGCAATGGTTTTACCCACCCCGGCAGACCGCACGTCGGGGGTACATTCATCGCGCGATGGCTGCACCCTCATCCGATCGGATTTCAGGGGGGTGCAACCATCACGCGGTAGTTGTACCTCCGACGGAAAGACTGCGCCAGTACAAGCATCACGCGATGGTCGTACCCCCTTCAAATCCGACCGGAAGAGGGTACAGCAATCGCGCGATGAATGTACTTCCGATGTGCGGCCGGTCGGGCTGGGTGTAGGGACGAGGGGGTAAACACTCCGGTGAACCTTGTACAGACTACTCCCTATTACAGGGTATTACACTTGTATTACGCATGTATTACCCCTCGATTTCATTGAAAAATGACATTTTTAGATACTTTTGGTCCCAAAATGTATTACTGTTACGCGTATTACGGCGTAATACCCGACTTTTGTGTACAGGGTATTACGCAAGTGTTTACCCCCTCGTGTAGGGATGTGCGAATAGTTTGGTATCGAATCGAATCAAATCAGGGGTGATTCGATCCGATTCGGGGACGAATATATTTGCTTCGACCCTGAATATTCAAAATTTTCGAATCGATAGTAGTTTGTCTTCGAATCGGTTGCTCGGGAACGGTTGAATGTCCCGCGCATAGCATTGTTTTTATACCAAAGCATTTTTTCTTGTTTCGTATTCCTGCTCTATGCCCTTCCGTTATTACAGAACATGTGTTTTGAAACGCGCTAATTTTTTTTAGTTTCAGTTTGGATTTCATTAGATTCTGAAAGTTTAAAAGTTCGATTCGAATCGACAACTTTTTCCAGATTTCATTCGAAACTTTTTTAGATTCAATTCGAAATGAAAATCCTTGATTCGCACATCCCCAGGTGGGTAAAGCCATCGCGCGATGGCTGTACCCCACATTCATCGAGGGGATACATCCATCGTCCCGGCTGCTGAAGCAGCTGAAGCAGCTGAAGCAGGCTGCAGGGGCGCTATACGCCACCATTTACGATTCATGCAAGGACCGGGAGGACTCGCTGGGAGCACTGGGAGCCGCGCAATTTCGACAAGGCGCTCACTGTCCTGGCGCACCGCGCATTTTACTTTGAAATCAGGTGGGCGGTGACCTGGTCCTTCGGCCTCCCTCCAGTCCCTGAAGTCCCTCCCAGCCTTCGGGAAAGCGGCTTGCCTTTTAACCATGTTCCCGCCGGTCCCTCGGCCGACCGCCCGGCCCGGCCATCCCCAGCAGACTCCTTTTGGCACTGTTTGAGAGCACGCAGTGTAGAATTGCATAGGATTGTTGCACGACAGTCGATCGGCAGTTGTCAGGCCATGGCAGTGCAGGATTTTGTTCTAAACCAAAATGTGTTTTGGGTCGCGACCAGGGCGACTAGGGCTCTGCGGGCTGTAGGCTCTCCACCAGCAGCTACGCAGCCACGACGTCCTTCCCCCCTCTTCCCCCCGCGACGCGTTGCGTCGGCACGCGTTCACACGCTCCGGAAGCAAGCCTGCCCCGGCCGGGGCCCCACCCCGCGGTGACCGGTGGACAGTAGCGCCCCAGGCGTTCCGAGGAGTGCACCGTCCAATCGGCACAATGGCCACCGAGGAATCATGGAACTTGCTGAAGGACGAGGCACTGCGGTCCACGGCCCAGGGCGAGGCCCAGGGCTTGGGGCTGAAGAAGGGGCGGTACTTCAAGACCGACGTGGTGTGGACCAACGCCCTCATCTTCCTAGTCTCGCACCTGGTGGCCGTGCCCGCCTTCTACCTGTGGGCCTTCTTCCGCATCAGTTGGCAGACCTGGCTGTTCAGTGAGTACACTCTAAATGGCTTGCGGTGAACGGCTGCATATAATGGTGAAAATTTTCTCCTCAATACGAAAAAAGTTTGGAACGAATATCTGCACCAAAATATTCTGGAGAATCTTCAACAGTGTGGAGGACGTTTACCACAAGGCTTTACGAGTGTGAGTGCGTCCACTGGGTGCGCTGGGTGCGAGGGATCACAGCGTTTGTTTGGCAGGCCTGGCGCTCGGCCTGGGTTCCTCGCAGGGCATCCTCCTCGGGGCGCACCGCTACTACACGCACCGCTCGTACAAGGCCACGCTCCCGCTACGAGTGCTCATCATCTTCTGGAACACGATTGCCATCCAGGTAAAGGGGACTGGCAGTGTCGCGGAAGGGTTGGCGGGACGGTACTGACGGCCACCTGCTTGCAGAACTGCTTGTGGGAGTGGGCGCGCGACCACCGCCAGCACCACAAGCACTCCGACACGGACGCCGACCCGCACAACGCCACGCGGGGCTTCTTCTTCTCGCACGTCGGCTGGCTCATGATGCGCAAGCACCCCGACGTCATCGCCAAGGGCAAGGACATCGACATGTCCGACCTGGAGAGCGACCCTCTCATCATGTTCCAGAAAAGGTGGGTCCGAGGGTGGGTCATTGCTTGTCTCGTAGTCTTCGAGATAATGAGGCAGGCGCCAGGCCGACAAACGTGTTCCAATATGCGCTTGAGTCAGCAATGCGCAATGTTTTTGCATCCTCGGCAGGCACTACCTTCTCCTCGTGTTGCTCCTGTCCGTGGCGATGCCCATTGGCGTGCCCATGTACTTCTGGAACGAGTCCTTCGCGGTGTCCTTCCTGGTGCCGTTCCTGCTTCGCACCATCATAGTCCTCAACTTCACCTGGATGGTCAACAGCTGGGCTCACGCTTTCGGCAACAAGCCCTACGACAAGTACGTCATCGTGGTGCTGCGGGGATGCAGCGCTGCAGGTTCACAGCAGCGTCCTTTTCCTTGTCCCGCAGGAGCATCCGGCCCGTGGAGTCCTTGCTGGTGGCCTTAGTGTCCCTGGGCGAGGGCTGGCACAACTACCACCACTGCTTCCCTTGGGACTACAGGGCGGCGGAGCTGAGCCTGGGCGGCTTCAACCCCACCACCAACGTCATCCACTTCTTCGCCTGGCTGGGCTGGGCCTACGACCTGAAGCAGGCCTCGGACACCGTGGTCGCTGCCAGGGTGCAGCGGACCGGCGACGGCAGCCACCCCAGCGTGGCGGACACGAAGACCACCACGACGACCGCCAAGACCTCGGAGACCGAGTCCCTGGACAATACTTTTCCATCGACCCCCCTCTTGCGACCTGGAAAACACAGTTGTGCGCTCTGGCATTCGAACGTGGAGTCGACAGTGATTTGCAGATAATGCTCTTATGAACGAGTTGTATGGCAAGATTTGTGGCAACAGTTCGTAGTAAAAACCGGTACAAACAATTTTTTCACACAAAAAACTCGTTTCTGTTTGCTGTACTAAATTTAAGCTAGCTAGGGAGCTTTCTCTGGGCCTTTGGGCGACACTAGAGCCGCGCCGTGGCGACACAAATGCAAATGCTGGGACCCTGTTGCGGGAAGGTCGTGGTGCCGAGTCGTTGCGCAAGTCGGGCCGACTCGCGTCAATAAGCTTCATAGACCGACAGCGCCGACAGCAGGAGCCATGCTTTCCTGTCATAGTCGACTAGGTGACTGCGAGTTCCAGTGTATTTCAGGCTGGCAACAACGATTCACATCAAGCTGATCAGAAGTGGTACTATTGCTCAATGATATTGACGAAAATAAAAGTTCCATTTCGACTGAAGCTGTTCATGAATGATTAAAACAATTTTTTTATCACTTCTGGAGTTTACTTTTTACTCCGTAACACGTAGGTAGGAACATGTAGGAACGATGTTGACCATCTCTGTCCAGATTAAAAATTTTATTTTCCGTTTTTTTTTTGCTGGTTGTTTTGAAAAATGAGATCCAAGCGGAGGACGGCATAAAAGCAGAGCGGGAAGTCTGCATTTTAAAAGACGGCCAGCATGAATTTGGATGACGTCAGCACCGCACGGCACCGCACGGCACCGCATGGGCGCGTGGCACCATGGCAGTCTGGCGGTGCAGGTGCTTCGCAGTGCTTCGAAAAGCGCGCCGCCGCGGCCGACCCGTACAGTGGCGCTGCCTGGCGGCCGGCCGGCGCCTCGCCAGACCAATCATTACCAGAGGGGGCTCGGCGGCGAGGACTAGGCGAGGGCGCATGCCTGGACCGCCCCCCGCGCGCCGCGCGCCGCGCCCCGCCGCCCCCGGTACCGGGTACGCCCACCACCCTCCTCGCCCATCCACCCACAGCGGGGCGGCGGGGCGGCGAGGCAGTGAGCCCCTGGTCGCGGCGCGGAGCGGACGGACCGCGCAGCTCCTCGACGCCCGGCTCGACTCCCCGCTCGGTGCGACTCCAGGACTCGGCTCGACTCGACTCGGATCCCCTGCCGGCCGATTCCCAGCGGGGAAAAGGGGAAAGGAAAAATTGCACACAGAGCCCAGAGGGTAGGGTTTCCACCACTCGGCGCCGTCGCGCACCACCGGATGGTCACCCTATCCTGACCCCATCCCGGCGAGCGCGCTCCCTGCGCTGCTTCCGCGTGGCGGCCCCGCTGCCCCCGCAGCCCCCGCTGCCCCGCAGCTCCCGACCCCCGTCACGTCGGCATGGGGTCGTGACGGGACTGCCACGGTCGTCACGGCCGTCACGGGCCGGCAGCGTGACGCCGCGCGCCGGCTGGCTGGACCTTGTTGCGCGTGTGTGAGTGTGTGACAGTGTCTGTGCAGCATGGTGCCGGCCACAGGATAACAAGGCCACACACCGCCCGCCATCACAAAGGTGAGCACTAATACCTCCGGAGTGCGTGGTCGTGTATACACTGTATGCGTGCGCGGCGTGCGTGTGCGCCTGCACGTGTGTGTATGGCCATACTTTTTGTACGGCGCGTCTCATAAATATAGATTGCAGCGCCCTCGCGGCCCGCTCCCCCTGGCCGTTAATCTCCCTGCGTTGGCCAAACAGGAGGCCGGGCCCCGCTAGGACCCGCTAGGGCCCGCTAGGCCCCGCCGGGGTGCAGCCTAGAGCACTCCAAGGACCCCAAGGTGTCGCGGGCCGTCGTCCGGAGTCTGGCGTCCGAAGCAAAGGAGCCAGGCCGGCCGGGCAGAGTAGCCGCATTGGCCCGAGGGGTTACCCACTCGTTGTTTTAGTGTACACACGATTCCGGATTCCCGCGATTCCCAGAACATATCCCTGAGAAAAAGAGAGAACTTTCGAAAATTTGCTTTGTATTTAAATGTTTTTGTGTGTATCACATGATTACCATGACTTTAAATTGAAACTATGAGGATTTTCCATCAAATTTTAAAAGATTTACGAATGATTCCCGGACTGAGTGTACACATGATTCCCGGAGTGGGTAACCCCTCGCATTGGCCGCAACACGCTGCCGACCGGTCGACCAGACCGGCGCGGCTAAATTTAGTCCCGCGAGTTGCCCCGGCGCCCCAGCCTGGCCCAGCCCCTTCCAGATCCGAGTCCCGAGGGCCCCGACCCGACGTCCCCGTCAGCCGCGCGCTGGCCGCCCGCAGGAGCAGCGAGGAGCAGCGGGGAGCGTCCGGCCTTCGCCTAAACGCGGGGCCGTTAAATCTTTCACTCGCCCTGCCATTAAACTTGCAATTCTTCCTGTACCTTGATTGCATTAGCAACGAGGCAGAGGCAAGGCGCGGCGCCTCTTCCCCGCCTCTTCCTTCCGTCGCACCTTTGGGCTTCGGGCACCTTCCGCAGTGCCGGGCCGACTTTGCTTCGGGACGTGGACTCCTCACACACGCGCCGCCACTGAAGGGCCGCCGCACCCTCGCCTACGCCACTGGCCGTCCACTGGCCGTCCACTGGCCGGGCCGCATCTCAGCGCCTCGGTGATGAATCGCCACTCGTCCGAGGGCCGAACAAATTGACAGGATATCCGTAACGGTACCTGTTGATGCGGAGTGCGCTCGGCTACACCTCGGGCTACACTGTGGCAACGCGGTGGTTGTCCAAACGCAGTGCCCCATTCCTATGGCCAGCCCGCTCTGCCAGGCCGCGGGGCGTGAGGGCGCAGCGTGGCGCGGCGTGGCGCGGCGTGGCGTGACGCAGCGAGGGTCGCCAGGACAGTCAACAGTCGGGGCAAATAACGAACGGCCGGGGCGCAGTCTGTGTTTTATGGTGATAATCACAGCCATCCTTGGCGGCCATTATATTTGGACTGTGTTCCGCGCTCCACCCGCCCAGCTCGCAGCGTAGCGTAGCCATGGCGTAGCGGCCTCATTATGTCTGGTCCGTTTGTTCGCCCGGAACAGATGTTGGGACGAATGAAAGGGGTGCAGCGCGGAAGCGGCGGAACGGCGGGACGTCAACTACTGTGCAAACTGGCCGCCCGGCCGCCGCCGTCCTCGAGACCGACCGGCTGGAAAGCGCTCGGATTGAGTAGCCGAAATCTGGTCCGAGTCGTAAAATTATGTCCCTTCCGGCCTCGGCACCGCAGCACCGCCGCCCCTTGCCACCACCGCTTGCCGCCTTGCCCGGCTTGCCCGGCTTGCCCCCCGCACTCGGTCACCACCGTCACTTCGCCTCGCAAGGTCTGCCCGGCCTGCCCGGCCTGCCCGGCCCCGTCTCTTTCGGTCGATATTCCACTGACGGAACCGTTTGTGCTGCCCGGACCCCAGTATGGCTGTACGTATACCTACCCTGCCAAGAACAACTACCCCTTCAAACAGACCCCTTATTTCGCGAGTTCCGGTGGTGCTTCGCGGTGCTTGCGCTCCGTGATCCATGATGCTCGCTCCTACCGTCCTTCCCGTCCTTCGCTGGCTGATTCTGCCCATGCAGGCCGTGCAAGCGGTGGTGCGGGCAAGTGCACACCAGCCAGCGCCCCAGTGAGCACAATGCGCCCCCCTCGATGCCCTGTGCTTCGCCAGGGCACTCTCTCACACTCACAGTCATACGTGTTCTCCCCCCCCCCCCACACACTCACACAGGTCGGTGCCGGATGCGCAATCATTTCATCCATTGCTGTTAAAAGGAATTCCCGACGGAGCTTTGAGAGGCACCCTCCGGAAATTTCCAATTTATTTTGAACAGTGCTCCTACAGCGCAAAATATTTCCCTCGTGGAGAGGATAAAGAAATGGCGAATCGCCGCGATGGTCTGGTTTCAACAATGAAGAAATATACTTCTCGCGTGATCCGCTCTGTGTGCAAGAGGGAGAGGGAGCGGGTGGTGGAGCTAGAGACGTATTAATGTTTGGAACGGCCTACAAGTGTGCGCGAGGGGTAGAGGGGAGATGCGGACTCTCTGCGCTCCCTCTCCGAATGACGAAACTCGGAAACACAAAAAGTCGCTCGCCGTGTTATCCATTCTCCTGGAGCCGAGGCAAACAAACACGAAACAAAAGCCGAGTCCGGCTGCTGGCGCACTTCTCGCACTGCATGCGGTGGCCCACCTCTCTTGCCAACAATAATTCATTTGCCTTTCAATTTTGGCGGGGCAGTTGTTCGGGGTGCGGCCACAGACGGGTTGTCGTGTCCACTACCGCATCCCTGCCCCCTCCCCCCCCCTCTCCTCCCTCCCCACCCGGCGCAGCCAGGCGCAGCCAGGCGCAGCGCGAAGCCCCGAGAGATGATGCCAATCGACTGCCTCTTCATTGCAAATTGCATCGTGCTCGGTTTGGCTCGGCTTGGCTCGGCCCGCCTCCCATCGCTGCACACGCCCCCCCTCCCCGTTTCCCTTAATTCCGGAGCTGCCAGCCCCCACCCCCTTTCCGCTTGCACATAATTTTTCGTACGGCTGCAGAATAGTGGAGCTGGCACGCCCAGCGGGCTGTCAGTCTCAGGCCGCGCCGCGCTGCGCCGAGGGGTGGGGGTGGGGGTGAAAGTGGCGGCGGCGAACAAGGGCAAGGGAGGGGCGACACGGGTTTGCTCGTTTCGTGAAGGGCTCGGCTCGGCCGCCCTCGGCTTGGTTCGGCTCGGCTCGGCCTGGCTGGGCTGGGCTCGCGGTGACGGGGTTTCGCAACACGGGGCCGGCATGTCGGAGAGCAGCGAGAAGCCTCGTGGCGCGGCAGAGCGCGGCACGGCGGGGCATTAACACTTTCCGGAAACCCACGCTGCGGGCTGCTAGGCGGAAGCAGGCAGGCAGGCAAGCCACCACGGCGCGTCGCCCCAAGCACCTTCAAACCCACGCGAGCCTCGAACCGCGGGGAGGCGGCCCCCTCGGCGGCCTCTTTGGCGGCCTCCTTGGTGGCCTCCTCGGCGGCCTCCTCGGCGGCCTCCTCGGCGGCCTCCTCGGCGGCCTCCTTGCCGGCGGCGAGCAGCTGGGGCGGGGTGGGGCGGGGTTGGGCGAGGTGGGGCTGGGTGGGGCGGGGTGGGGCGGCCGGGCGGCCAACGAGGCCGAGTCCAGGAAATGGTGTGGGCGCGCCAATCGGGCGTGAGCAACATTCGTCCGGGGTCACCGTGACCTCGCCGTCGGGGCGTGCGCGGGCGTGCGCGGGCGTGCGCGGCATGGTGTGGTGTGCACACAGAGGGCCATCTGTTTGCCGAGGCCTTGCCGCCCTTGCCGCCCTGCTGCGTCGTGTATTCGCTGGTCGAGATTGAGAGCGCCCCGCACGTTTCGAGCTGGCCGACCACCCCAGTGACGGTCGTCCTGGCGCTGCGCGGGCCTACGCGGGGCTGCGCGGGGCTACGTGTGTTCCCTCCCTTTGTGGATTGGGCCGCGCTGTGTTGCCGCGCTGGGTGTGGCGGTGCGGCGGCCCGCTCTCTTTGTCTGCGCAAACACCATCGGCAGCAACCTCACTTCCGCGAATTAGCGGAGCAGCCCACCCCCGCCTCGCCTTGCCTCGCCTTGCCACTGCGTGCCCATTAGCCCTCCACACACTCTTCTCGTCAAAAGGAAAGCCGCTCTGTTTATTTACCGCGTTGCTCCCGCCTCGAGGGCCAAAAAGAAAAACCTTTCTTATTTCCGCGTAAATATTTTCCTTTTCATTTTCCGCCCCTCGTTAATGCCGGTGACGCAATTAATCGCTGGAGCGTTGCCTGGCTGGGCTCCTTTGCAGCCCCCCTCTGCCCGCCGGCATCGCCAGCACGGCCAGCGAGCCTCAATGAATGGCCCTCGCCCCCCGGCCTCGCCCCCGGCCTACGCCCCCCGGCCCTACGCCCCCCGGCCCTACGCCCCCCGACCCTAACCCCCCGGCCCTACGCCCCCCCGGCCCTACACCCCCCGCCACACCCCCGGCCCTACACCCCCCGGCCCTACGCCCCCCGGCCCTACGCCCCCCGGCCCTACGCCCCCCGGCCCTACGCCCCCCGGCCCTACGTTCCCCGGCCCTACGCCCCCCGGGTCGCGGTGCCCCGGGTCGCGGTGCCCCGCGGTGTCACTGAGGGTAACGCACAGCCCCGGCCCGCCGTGCCCCGCCGCCATCGGCACATACACCATAGTCCTACACGCCCTTTTTCATGTCATCGGACTACTTTGATTTCATCGGCCGGACTGGACCGGGCCGGACGGAGGGCGGGTGGCTCTCGATACGAAAGGGTGGAGCGCTTGCGCCAAGCTTGCGCCAAGCTTGAGTACCCGCCCACCGTTCTGAGCGACTGCGCCGAGCAAGCATTTGGGTTTGTCGGCAAGGTCTCAAGTCGAGCTCTGCGTTCGAAAGACCTGCTCCAAATTTCCCCCTGAGCCACATCGAGTCGACTTCGCCGAGGCCAACGCTTCCCAAAGGACGAATGCGGCACCAAGAATTTTTCATTCCTCTTTCCAAACAGTGTTGTTTGAGCGGGAGGATGAAGCCGACCGCTTTCTCGCCTGGA